TATATATATATATATATATATATATATATATATATATATATATATAATATGATGAATTAAATGTAATTGTGATAGTACTCTTCATGTTGAGACTATGTACTTGGTAGCATAATGTTTGTATACTTGGAATTGTGTGATTTTGATGTTTGATATTATCATGATTGTGTGGGATGAAGTTGTATTGCTGTGTGAAATTGAATTCAAAGTGTTTGGAGTGAGTAATGATCTAAATCATGAGTTCTAAGCATAAAAAGGGGGTTTTTGATAGGTGAGTTTGAGATATATGTGTTGGAGTGAGAAGTTGGAGTGAGAAAGTTACTGGTTTAGGACTGTGATGTGGTCATTTGAGACTTGCTAGAGGTATTATTTGCTTGAAATTTGATATGGAACATAAAGATAATTCATTATTCTTTTAGCATCTATGTAAGGTTTCATTTTGATAGTTTTATAATATTAAAATGAGATGTTACACTCACTACTTTTAAACTATTACCACTTCTAAAATATCATTTTCTAAGGTTTTACCACGCATGCTTTATTTTTATTATTTTACGATATTTTTTTACATAAACATTGGTTTCAAAATAACAGTTTATTAATAATTATTTTTCTCGTGTGCGTATTAATAAATAAATCTAATACAATAATGAAGTTTGTTTTTTCAATTTCTAAATTCCATAACAACATAAAAATATCCCCACAAATTAAATTTATTATTATAGTAAATATACCTTTTATAATATAGTTTCAATTATCACAAATAAATTTTTGTATTATATAATTAAGTTTATAAATTATTATTATTAAAAGAAGAAATTAACTTTTAAAATTTTAAATTGATATCTTTATTTTATTGATTGTCAATTGATTTCAAAAGCTAATGTTTAAAATCCAAATTTAAGAAAATAAAATAGAACTTGGCTAAATTTCAGGTCTGAAAGTTCGAATTCTGACGAGTTTTGAGGGAGAACAATTCCAAATTCAAAACTTGATGTTTTGGACTACAAATTTTGACTTAAAAAGGAAAAAAAAAAGTGTAATTGCGATTTTGTTTTTCAAAAACGCAATGTATAATGATTTTTTTTAGTTACTTATAAATCTATATTAAAATAATCACGTATACTATTACAAATTTTGACTTGAAAAGAATAGAAAAAAGAGTAATTGAGTATTTCTTTTTTTTCAAAAACGAACTATACGATAAAAATTTTCTTTTCATAGTTACTTATAAACTCTATATTAAAATAGTCATGTATAATATAATTAAATACATTTTTATTTTAAAAATAATCGTTGTGTCTATATGATGGTTTTCAACACTGCACCAAAAATTTGGCTTGATTTTGGTGGTTTGAAACTCAACTTTCCACATAAGTGGCTTAAACTCGAAATGAATCACTTCAGCAACTTTAATTAGTGATTTGAAACATGTTCAAACTCTGAAATGGGTTAAAATCAGATTGCTACTCAGATTGACCTTGCCACTTCCTAATTTAACTCAAAATATGATGGTTTAAGAAACAACGTTGCACTTAGGCCAAGATATTACTAATTGAAATTTGCTAGCAACTTTTAAACACCATTTTAAACTTGTTCAAGCTATCAAATAGCTCAGAATTAGCAGAAATCAAAAATAGACCTTGTTATGGCCAATTTATGTAGAAAAATACTCCATCAATCCACCAAAATCAAGTTTGATTGATTCAAAAGCTATAGCAACAATGAAAATGAGTCAAGGAATTCTTAATACACTAGATCAAGCTAGAAATTATCAGCTAGAATGAATTAAATTCATATTAGACATCCAAGGATTTTTAAGCACGGTGAAAAGCTTGAAATAAGACCAAAACAGTAGGTTCTTCTGGTTTATGAGGCAACCAAGCTATGCTAGATTCATTTCATTGCTTGTTATGGTTTGCCATACCATTTGCAACCTTAGACAACACCAAACAGTGGTGGACAATGCATCAGAACAGACTTAAAAGACTTAAAACGGATTCAAAGAAAACTTAAACCAGAAATGAATTTTCAATCAGATTTGAAACTTGACCCAGAGCTTTAGTGATTCTGCTCATATCACCAAGGCTAGATTAAGCTCTCATTGCCTTATTTGGTTGATATATGAATTCACTTTCATCTGAACTCAAGCACATCCAAAAACCAAAGCAGGAAGACCAAATTTAATGACAAATTAAAACACTGCATCAGAATTTTGAGCACATGACTTTAACATATTGGAATTGAATTCTAAAGCTAGAAGAGACATAAGCAAGAATGATTCACCGTTTAAAATGAGTAACAAACATGTATGAACACTGGAAACACAACACAACAACAGGAAACACGAAATTATTGACTGGAAAAAGTAAAACAGAAGCAACAAAAATACTCAAAACAGAAACTGGAAAACTGAAACAGAAAGCACAACAGAATGCAGAAATGGAGTGCAAAGATGGAGGAATAGCTTAGCTCTTGGTGCGTGGACGACCTAAGCTCATGATACCACTTGATGGAAGAAGGATCCAGCTGATTCTGGTGCAAGATGGAATCAACGGAACTTCTCCTAGGAACTTTTGGAATCTGAACTGGAAAGGAGGATGAACATCATTTTGTTGCAGCGGAAGAAGATGAATTATGATGATTATGACCGGAGGAAGCATAAACTCTGGAACCCACTCTTCAAACAGTGTTCGGTGACTGGATTGAAGGAGAGTAGATGATTTAGTGATGAAGATAAGGTTGAGGCAAAGGAGGATTGAATCAAACAATGATGCGGTGAAGAAAACAGATGAATCGGTGATGGAGAAAATGGAATGAGGGAAGTGGTTTAGGTGCTGAAATATGATACGGAATGTGCAGAGGAATGCTAGGAATGGAAGCCTAGCTAGGGAGAGAGGCTAGAGGAAACTCTCAGGCTCTCTCTCGGTGACCTTCAATAAGAAGAAAGTTCTGGACAGCATCAACAGAAAACAATTCCTCATTCAAATCAAAGGTAAAGGTTACAAGCAATGGAGCAAGCTATTTAAAGGAGAAACAAAGCTCCTGATTCACGCCTATTTAGCTAACGTTAACTATGATGCAATGGAGCAAGTGCCTAGCTATGCAAGTGTGAAGAAAACATGAAGAGCCACGTGGAGATCTCTTAAATCTGCTGAAACGTTTCTGAAGTTGCTGGTTGCACATGAAAGGTGCTGGATGCACGTGGAAGATCACAGTTGGTGCTGGATGCACGTCAGGCTTCATATGGTGCAAAATTATGCCTTTTACTCCTTTGCTTCTCTTGGCTAAACAACTCCATGACTTGTTGTTTCATGATCTCCTAGCTTTGTTAGACCCTACAAAACACATATAAACATATTAAAGAAAATCCTACTAAGACTTAGAGAAGAAAAATCAAGAAAGAGTTTCTAAAAGTCCTTCTCCAACGTCCCTTTCTTAGCCTTAGATTAAGTTCGTACTCCTTTGAATGGAATGCCCTAAATGGGTTTCCATCAGGTATTCCCTCTTTGGTTTTCTGCTTATTCTTGCTCAACTTCAAGGTAAGGGGAGCTAGGATATGTTTTCTTTAATTTGGTTGCATGAACTGTATGTTGAGTCCTGTACTGTTGTGCTATTGATATTATGTTTTGAGTCGGAAAGACTTAGTTGCCTATGGTGGGTTGAATGACTGTGAAATTGGATTTTTATGTAAGTAAACTATTTTGGAATGTATTTAATTTATGAAATGTCTATGTTGAAGTGTTTGGGCTGAGAGACATGCTGTAACAGTGAAGGGATAGAATAATTAGCATTCTCTAAGGGTTTTGGGTCAATGAAGAGGAAGTGAGGTAGTGACTATGGGAAGTAGGGGTTCTGGGCATAGCTGGGCTGTTGGGACATCTTAGGCAAGTCAATTGTGACTTGTTGGGATCATAAAACTGGTTTAGAATAGGCTACATATAATAGGGATGTCACATTTATGGTATCAGAGCAGTTTCTATCCTTAGGACATTCAATAGGTTGTATGTGTGCATTTCTTATGCGTGTGTACTCTTAATCATGTCAAGGTTAGTTGTGATTGTTTCTTTGAGTTCTAACTGATGGTTTTATCTCTCTGTGTGAACAGAAAGATGGCACCTAGGCCTCCTCCTCCACCTCCTCAACCTGAGCCATCCGAGAACACAAGGATGCTAGAGGTTGTTCTACAAGCCATGCAACAGCAAAATACTGCTTTGGTGCAGCAAAACACTGTTGCACTACAAAATCTGGAAGCCGCAAGGGTAGCTGCTGAGAACGCGAGAGTGTCATCTGAGAACACTCAAAGGCAACTCATGGAAGTGCTGACTAGTAGCAGGTGCTTCTTCCTCTGCTATTCTTGTCCAAGAGTTGAGTCTAGAGAGCTTCCTCCAACATCACCCTGCCCGATTCACTGGAAAATGCAGCCTTGATGAAGTTGATCACTGGTTTAGGGACATGGAGAGGATCTATTACGCTAAGGGGTGTCCGGATGAGAGGAAACTGGCTTACACTCAATATTTATTGACCGGGGAAGCTGGCCACTGGTGGAGCAGCATGAGGATGATCCTTGAAAGGAGTGAGACTCCTATTACCTGGGAGCTATTTAGGGTCAAATTCTACACTGAGTACTTCCCAAACAGTGTTAGATTTGCCAAAGAAGTGGAATTCCTGGAGCTGGTATAGGGCAACAAAACTGTATCAGAGTATGTTGATCGCTTCAAACATTTGCTTCGCTTCAACACTACGGCGGTAGATGAAGAGTGGCAAAGCAGGAAGTTTGAGAATGGCTTGAGAGGTGATATCAAGCTGCTTGTGAACGGGTTACGCATCAGAGAGTTTCCTGCTCTGGTGGAGATGGCTCGTGACATGGAGAAGACTAAGAAGGAATCTGAGGGGCCTTAGAATCAGCAGATCCAACCACTAAGAGCTGGAGGACCGGCAGTGTCACGAGGTGGCTCCAGTTCTACGAAGACCCCTTTCTCTAGACCTACTGTTTCTGGGTCCAAGGATTCTTTCTCTCAATCCTCGGGGCAACCCAATTTTGTTAGTCCCGTGAGGTGCTTTGTGTGTGGAGGACCACACCTTCAGGCTGTTTGCCCTCAGCTGGTGGGTTTTAAGAGGTGCAACATTTGCAGGCGGGACGGTCATTATGCAAGGGACTGTCCTACGACCAGGAGGGCAGGCCCACAGACACCACAAGCTTGGGAGAGTTGTTCAGAGGAGCGGAAATCGGCCACAAGCAATAGGGAGAGTATATGCATTGACCGAAGCTGAGGCAGCTAGTGCAGGTAACCTTATTGTTAGCAGTTGCTTATTGTTTGGAGCTTCTTGTGTGGCTTTATTTCATTCGGGGGTGACACATTCATTTGTGTCGGAGTCTTGTATGGAGAGGTTGGGTTTGGTAGTCAAAGAGCTTCAGTGCGATCTGGTGGTATCTACACCAGCAGCAGGATTAGTCAGGACATATAATGTGTGCTCCAGATGTGCTATTGAAGTAGAGGGGTGCAGGTTCAGAGTGAACCTTATTTGCTTACCTCTGCAAGGGCTAGAAGTAATTCTGGGAATGGATTGGTTAGCAGCCAATCGTATTTTCTTAGATTGTGGTGGTAAGAAGCTAATATTTCTCGATGAAGATGAAGACATGTTGTTGTCACTCGGGTTGTTGAGACAAGACATCTTTGAGGGTTATAGTTGTTTCTTAATCCTGTTTCACATGGAAGGGGCCCAAGAATTAAACCCTTTAACGCATTGGAACCAGAGTGTAGATCTTCTGGTTGTGAATGACTTCTTAGATGTATTCCCTGAGGAAGTTTCGGGTCTACCTCCTCTGCGAGAGGTAGAGTTCTCTATTGATCTGGTGTCAGGGGTAGGGCCAGTGTCTATAGCTCCGTATCAAATGTCTCCGGCAGAATTAGCAGAGCTGAAGAAACATATAGAAGAACTGCTAGAGAAATAGTTTATTCGACCCAGTGTTTCCCCATGGGGTGCACCAGTTCTTCTAGTGAAGAAGAAAGATGACAGTTCTAGACTTTGTGTGGACTACAGGCAACTTAATAAGTTGACAATTAAGAACAAGTATCCATTGCCAAGGATCGATGATCTGATGGATCAACTGCACGGAGCTACGATGTTTTCCAAGATTGATTTGAGGTCGGGTTACCATCAGATTTTAGTGAAAGCCGATGATGTGCAGAAGACGGCTTTCCGATCTAGATATGGCCACTACGAGTACGTAGTTATGCCTTTTGGTGTGACTAATGCTCCAACCATCTTCATGGATTACATGAACAGGATCTTCAGACCGTTCTTAGATAAATTTGTGGTTGTCTTCATAGATGACATACTAGTTTACTCTAAGACTCGGGAAGAGCACGAAGATCACCTAAGGACAGTGCTTGGAATACTGAGAGAAAGGAAGCTCTATGTGAAGCTGTCTAAGTGCGAGTTCTGGATGAAGGAAGTTCATTTTCTAGGGCATGTACTTTCAGCTGGTGGAGTTGTTGTGGATCCAGCTAAGGTACAAGTTGTACTTCAGTGAGAGAAGCCAAAGACAGTGACTGAAGTCAGGAGCTTTGTGGGTTTGGCGGGCTACTATCGCCGCTTTATTGAGAACTTTGCTAGGATTGTAGCGTCATTATCCTAGCTGACTAGGAAGGATCAGCCTTTTGCTTGGACTGACAAGTGTGAAGTTAGCTTTCAAGAGCTAAAGCAAAGGTTGACTAGTGCTCCAGTATTGGTTATTCCGAACACAAGTAAACCTTTTGAGGTTTTCTGTGATGCTTCTTATCAGGGGCTGGGGTGTGTATTGATGCAGGAAAAGCGAGTGGTTGCTTATGCCTCGAGACAACTCAAGGTACATGAGAAGAATTACCCCACTCATGACTTGGAGTTGGCCGCTGTGGTTTTTGCATTGAAGATATGGAGCCACTACGTGTATGGTGCCCAATTTCAAGTTTGTAGTGATCATAAGAGTTTGAAATACCTCTTTGATCAGAAAGAGTTGAATATGAGGCAAAGGAGATGGATGAAGTTCCTTAAGGATTATGATTTTGACCTATTGTACCATCCTGGGAAACCTAATGTGGTAGCTGATGCGTTGAGCAGAAAGACAGTGCACATGTCTTCATTAATGATTAGAGAGTTGGAGTTAGTGGAGGGGTTTAGAGATTTGAAGTTACAGGTTGGATTAAAGCCTGATAGCATCAGATGCAGTAGATTGGTGGTGTCTAGTAGATTATTGGAGCGTGTTAAAGAATGGCAGTTATTAGACCTCGAGCTTTAGAAGACAGTAGCCTTGATTGGTACCTAACAAGGAAAGTACTTCAACATAGGGACGGACGGACTCTTACGGCTCAACGGTAGGACGTGTGTTCCTAATGATGGAGAACTAAAGAGGTTGATACTTGAGGAAGGACACCAGAGTCGTTTTAGCATGCATCCAGGCATGACTAAGATGTACCAGGACCTAAAGAAGTCCTTTTGGTGGTCGGGTATGAAGAGAGATGTAGCTTAGTTTGTTGCTTCTTGTCTAACGTGCCAAAAGGCTAAAGTTGAGCATCAGAGACCAGGAGGTTTATTGCAGCAGTTAGAGATCCCGGAATGGAAGTGAGACAGCATAACCATGGACTTTGTTACCCATTTACCACGCACCGTTAGAGGTCATGATGCTATTTGGGTGATTATAGACGTTGACCACGAGTGCTCATTTCTTGGCAATCAATTTGAGGATGTCTATGGCGAAGTTGGCATAACTTTATATTAATGAGATCGTGAGACTACAAGGCGTTCCTTCTAGCATCATATCCGATAGAGATCCGCGCTTCACTTCTAGATTCTGGCAGACACTTCAGAGTGAGATGGGCAGCAGATTGCAGATGAGCTCAGCTTACCATCCCTAGACAGATGGTCAGTCAGAGAGAACGATCCAGTCACTAGAGGACTTGCTGAGGACGTGTCTTGGATCACTTGGGCACTTGGGATGAGGTGTTGTCGTTGGTGGAGTTCACCTACAACAATAGTTACCATGCGAGTATAGGTATGGCACCGTTCGAAGCATTATATGGAAGACGCTGCAGAACACCGTTGTGTTGGTTTCAGGATGGCGAGACAGTGTTGACTGGGCTAGAGCTTGTGCAACAAACTACGGAGAAGGTGAAGCTCATACAGGAGAGGATGAGAGCATCTTAGTGTAGGCAGAAATCATATGCTGATAAGAGGCGTAGACCACTAGAGTTTACAGTTGGGGACCATGTGTTCCTTCGAGTGACCCCTATTATTGGTGTGGGAAGGCCATTCGTGCTAGAAACTATCTCCTAGGTATCTTGGCCCTTATCAGATTTTGCGGCGCATCGGACTAGTGGCTTATGAGATAGTCATGCCACCACGGCTGGCTAATCTTCATTTAGTCTTTCACGTCTCACAACTTAGGAAGTATGTGCCTAATCTGTCTCATGTACTACAAGCTGAAGACGTTAGTGTTCGAGAAGATCTATCTATGGAGGTGGAGCCAGTTAGAATTGAGGGGAGCCAGAACAAGCAGCTTAGAGGCAAAACCATCAACCTTGTCAAAGTCACCTGGGATAGTAGGACGGGTGACTCTACCTGGGAGTTAGAAGAAGAGATGCTGGAGTCTTATCCTCAACTATTCACTAGTAAGTCTAATTTTCGAGGCCGAAAATTTTTGATGTGTGGGAGAATGTAACAGCCTAAAAATGTAAGGCTAATGGGCCCTATGTTGGGGCAGCCTGGCCCAAAGGGCTAAAGGCACAATGACCTTAGAAAAGGGTCTCATTTTCCCCAACTATGATTTCAGTAGCCAATCTCTCTCTCTCTAAACTCAGTTACCTCCTTCTCCTTCTTGCTCTGCCTTCTCTCTACCCTTACACACATTTGAACCATTGGATTTTCAACTAGGTGGTGTTCTTTCGCTCACGGAGTTGAGAGCTTCCCATCCATCCGATTAGTTTCCGCTTTGGACGGGTAAGTCAGTTTCTCCATTCTTCTTGGACCTAGGGCATGCAACTTTACTGGTTGCATGCAACTAGTGGTATTCCCTCTTTGGTTCTCTGCTTATTCTAGCTTTAAGAGTTGTTTCCATCACCATTTAAGTGGTTGTAGGGCATTGTTCGGGTTCCTGCTGTTAAGGGCACTGTTAGGGCATTTTAGTGGATTGTACTGCTCAACTTTAAGGTAAGGGGAGCTAGGATATGTTTTCTTTAATTTGGTTGCATGAACTGTATGTTGAGTCTTGTATTGTTGTGCTATTGATATTATGTTTTGAGTCGGAAAGACTTAGTTGCCTGTGGTGGGTTGAATGACTGTGAAATTGGATTTTTATGTATGTAAACTGTTTTGGGATGTATTTAATTTCTGAAATGTCTATGTTGAAGTGTTTGGGCTGAGAGACATGCTGTAACAGTGAAGGGATAGAATAATTAGCATTCTCTAAGGGTTTTGGGTCAATGGAGAGGAAGTGAGGTAGTGATTTTGGGAAGTAGGGGTTTTGGGCATAGCTGGGATGTTGGGACATTTTAGGCAAGTCAATTGTGACTTGTTGAGATCATAAAACTGGTTTAGAATAGGCTACATATAGTAGAATTAGAATTGAGTCCCTAAGTTGAGAAAACTAGTGTTCTAAGAAGGAGTTCGGGTCTTAATCACTTAATAATCACTGTAGGAATGAGTAAAACCAATTAGATAGGTGTAATTAGGTTTATATTAATCATCAGAAGTTTTAGAAGTTGGCCAAGAGGCCTGGAAATGTTAAGGGCTGGTGTGAATGTGTGATTCTGCAGAATTCGTGTTCTGCAGATGATGCAGAGTCGCTATGCGAGCTGTCTCGCATAGCGAGACCCTGTAGGGGGTGCTCACTGTCGGGCTAATTCGCTGTGGGAGCTGGTGCACTGTGCGAATTACCAGAGGGTGTTGCTCTCTGTTTGTGGACTCGCCTGGCGAGTCCTATCGCTATGCGACTGGTGCTGGTCTAGGACCACTGCCCATTTAATTCGAAAAGTGAGTGGAGCGCATGGCGAGAGTTGTAAGGGGGTTGGTCTCTATCTAGACTCTCGCATATCGACCTGGGTGTGCAATGCGAGAGACCCAAAGTCTGATGCTTATTCAGACTTAATTCGCAAGGCGACCTAGGTGGGTGCGCTATGCGAATAGTGCCAGTCTCGCCATGCGAGGGTGGTGTGCTGTGCGACAAGTGTTGGGTCTGGTTCTTTAATTACATCTTATGTTGTGTTTGATTGATGTGCTCTTCGGTTGATTGGTGAAGTATTTCCTTGCATCGATAGTACTGTATTGTGATGTTCAAACAAGTATGTGGATGGTAGCAAAAAGCGTATGGTTATAAGTGGTGGTAAGATGATACAAGTGGTAAACCAAGTTCCATCTGTGTAGGATCTCTTGGTGAGATTCTTAGTGCTTAGAATGAGAGTAGGAGCTCAGTCTTGGGGGTCATCCTGAAACTCCAATGGTCTTTCTTCTCATGTAGAGAGGATTGGACCATGTGGTGAGGAGTAGCAGGAGGTCTTAGTCTTGGAGGCTTCCAGTATGCCTCAAGGCCCGGAACAGGCTAACCTCGTGAGTGTGGTAGGGTGAGGTTGCCCAAGTTTCATAAGCCACCACGAGCGCAAGACCCGCCATAGCTCAACTATCATTCTAAAGTCCAGACGAGTCAAGTCTAGAACATAACATGTTAGGATGTGTGTTTATCTTGATTGATTAAATTTAGCTCTTGCATGCACGTCTTGTTATATTGTATGCTTTTTATATAATTAGCTCACCCTTGCTTGTTTGTGTTCGTGGTGTTTGCGTATGTTTCTTCTTGCGATGATCATCCACTTGGATGGGAGCAGATGTCGAGGAGGTGCCCCTAGAGCAAGCCTCGGAGGAAGAGAACGCTGAATCTTAATTTCATTAGAATATTCGTACTTTAAATTATGCACTATGCCA